CCCCAAAACCCCAAAACCCCAAAACCCCAAAACCCCAAATCTTCTATTGGTGACTGAGAAATTAAAAATATAACATATATAATAGCTTAAGGATATTAATGGACTACAAACAAACTTTAAGCCTTGAATAGTTTTAAAATCAAGTATATATTTAAATCTACTGCACTTGTGCTTTGGAATCTCCCTATTGGTTTTATTAAGTAAACTGAACTCTTCTATCAGTTTTGGAATCCGTATTGGCATATCCTCTGGTAAATACATGCTCGTTGCCTTGTAAATAGTCCTGTGTCTCGTTGGCGATAGGTGTAGTTATGTCGAAACTACCCATTTCTCAAAAAGAGCAGGCTATAATTTAGAGAAATTAGTTAAAATTGAAAATAAGAGCTCAAAGTAAGTCGTTTTAAGAGCGATCATAGATTGGTTTATGAAGAAGATTAGTTTCTAGTATCCAAAGGCTGACATTCAGTAAAAAATTTCTGAGTAATAATATTTTTAAAGTTGAGTAATATTTCTAATGATAAAAACCCAAGATTAAGCTATGAAACCTAGTCCTCCTCAAGAACATATTAATGGATTCTTAGTAAATAGCTTCGTATTGGTCTTACCTTCATTAGAGCAATAACTTTTGTCATCTAAAATTATCAAAATCGAGCTTACTTTCTGGATGAATAAAAGGTGGAGCACGAGGATATGTGTTATTCATAATGGAAAAGGACCTGGTTTTCTGATATTTAAGTTAACAATAGATCATTGTAATCCCAAATGCCTCAGTATCTCCAAGAGTAAACCTGGACACACAATAAAGAGCAAATAAAGCCCAATGTTTAATCTTATTAACACTCTCGAAAAGATTGCATTTAAGAAAGTGCAAAATCTACCAAGTTCATCTGGCGATCTCCAATTATGAGAAAAGTAATTTTTATTTGTAAATAAAATTGGAAGATGGCTATATCTTTCATCGAAGCAATCTTTACCTTCTTGCTTTTATAATCATGCTGTCCTTGATTCTTATTGAAAGGAGAAGCTGAAGTCTTAGTGTTACTGATATAACGCATGTTCTTGATTGGAATAGAGACGCCTGACCCCTGCTTGGCTCCCTTTTTGGATTTACTCTTTGATTTCTTCTTGGAAAAGCTCTCGACATAGTCGATCGTTCATTCCTAGATGGTAAGAGAAGAGGAGTACTCTAGCATTTTTGTAGATGATTGATGGTGGACAAGGACCCTATACAAAATTGTTCAAAGTTTTTAGGAAATACTTGGTGATTTTGTGAGATTAAGCAGAGATCGTTAACGCTTAGTTGCATTTAGGAATTACTTACTTCTTGGAGATGTTGACTTCTTTTATGAAACCAATATGCATAGAATGAGTTTTTGACTCGTACAGACTGCTTCTTAGCAAAATACTGACGTAGTTTTTGTAAATCGAATTTTACCACTTCAATATGAGCACTGTTATCAGAAAATTCTCATTCAATTCTTTGTTTCCATGACACCACTTTATCAGAGTTTAGAGCAGAATAAGAATCATAGATTGCAAGCCAATCTGCATTCTTCACTGAATAAATTTGCTTGTTATTTTGTGATGCGCTGCATTTAGATCCCTTTGATATTATATGGCAGTAATATAAGTGGGTAATTTCCTCATTCTGTTTAGTAAAAGCTTGAGGTGTAACTACCACTTCAACTTCAGCATGTTTCATCAACTGTTTGAAATCACCCTCTCTAAAGTACAACTTAAAGTCTTGCTGGTATATCTCTCGCTCTTTCTGCGTCAGCTTCGGCTTCACAAAACTCAGCATGAACATCAGTATGTGAACCAAGTTGATAACGATCAAGACCCCATTCCAGATGATGGTGTCCAGCTCAAGCTTCGAAGGGTACACGAAAGCCCACACGATGAAGCAGATTTCACCAGCTATCAGCAGAGACCGGAACAGGAATGAGTACCATTGAAGCCAGGCGAGAAAAACGAGGCCAGCAGCAACTTGGTGGAGGGGTTTACGCCAGTCGAGGTCATCAGTGATATCATCAAGAAATAATTGCCTAGTGTTTTCTGCTTGTTCTCCATTATCATTAGAAGTCATATCTATTACCATAGTTATACCCACCAAAAGAGGTAGGAAAACATGCAACTTCATCTCAACTACTCTTGCATACATCAATTTAATGATCTGCTTACTACAAACTAGAGTCATTATCTCCATTTAATTTTATTTCAATTTAATTTTGTCATTGCGGGGTTTTGGGGTTTTGGGGTTTTGGGGTTTTGGGGTTTTGGGG